GGGCGGCTCCGCGGCGAGGTGGTGGCGGCACTTGCCGTTCTGCAGTCACCTCAGGTGAACCGAGAAGCGCTTCGCCAGAAGGCGTCGAGTTATTTGGTCAACTGCACTGGGAGAAACGCTCTTTTGATTAGTTTGTAACTGTTGGTTTTGGCACTTTACGTGCTGCAAAACTATATAATAAGCATTTTTTCCTTTTTTCTTAAACTGCACTTTTATTTGGTATCATCTGTTTCTGCAAACTTTTAGCTGAACAGCATGATTTCCCTATTCTGTACTTCCTAGAGCTGTATGACATTTCCAACGTCCATTCTTGCTACAGCAAGTCCTGAGTCCTTGGTCACTCCTTGGTCAGCTCTGTGGAACAGGAATGACTTACTTAAGATCAGCAGGAGCAAAAAGGCCTCTGTCATTTCTGCATGGTTCAGAAGTTGTAGAAAAAGCTGTGTGGTAGAAATATGCCAGCACATTTCAAGGAGGGAAACAAACTTATTTTTTTTTTCTTTTTTCTCCACGTTTGTTGTACGAGCCTTTACTGAACTCAGTGTACCTATAGAAGGAGCTGTGCTAGTGCAGGAGGGATGGTCTTATGGATAAAGTACTGCTTTAGGCCTTAGGAGCTTGGGGGTCATCTTGTAACTCTGCTTATCAGTCTAAATGTGATTTGTGTATAAAATATTTTGTTCATCTGTACCTCAGCTTGGTCATTTGTAGAACAAGGATACGGCTTTCAAAACCCTGCCAGAGATAAGCTCATACAGCTGTTTGGGTCCTTAGTGTGACAGCGTGACTGGAGGTGCAGTAAGCCCACTGTGTGCCTTAGTACGGGCCTGCGTAGGTATGGTAGGTCAGTCTCGCTATCTCTCCCTGTGTAAATGTGAATATGCAGTTTAGGTAAATAGTTTTTAGTTTACCAAAGGATCAAAATTGACTTGACCATCCTTGATTTTCAGACATGAAAGGTTCTTGTATTTGAAGCACAGCTCAACTTTTCCTGTTTTATTAACTATTATCAGCCTTGCCAGGCATCTGAGGAGAGGTCACAAGGGCACTTTTGCTCTCAGGTGGAAACATGCTGGTGTCTGTAGAATGCCTCTTTCTGTTATGTTGCTGTGTTTACGCTGCTAATATTCAAATGCAACTTTTTTTTTTCCTCCTTATTGATTAGTTGCTGAAATAAGATACCTCTGTCCTCCCTATGCTAACTGTTGACATGGAAAACAAGGAAAATGGCTCTCTGGATGTCAAAAAGTAAGTGAATCCGTAGTATTTACTTTTTATAATCAGCATATGGAATTGGATTTTACTCTTCATTTTACGTAATGTGATTGGCAACGGTGGATGACTTCATCTTTGCTCGCCTCAAAGTTTCCCTGTTCTCAATTATTTTTATTGTATTTCAACTTTGAGACGGGGAGTCCTTGGCAACATATTGATTAAAGGGTGGTTGTGGGAGGGCTGGATAACAATGGAGAGATGCGGAAGCTAGAAACAAGTTGGAGTTTTGACTTAACCTTTCGACAGAATGTGGAGTAAGTTGTAAGCAATACTACACCTCCACTCAGATTACTGCTGATAAGTTTTTGTCGCCATCCAATTTGACTGGAGAGGTAAATGCCTCAGCAAAGTGGAAGCAGCAAAGCAAATGCTGCTTGAGGTGTTTAAAGGTCTTTGTACTTCCAGCTAGTGGCTTTTGCAAAGGCAGTGCCAGGTGGGAAGAAGTGTCCTGTATGGAAGTCCCCTTCTCTTTGAAAAAGAGAGACAGATACTTTTCCCTGGTGACTGGTCTGCTATCCAGAGCTAAGCAGCAGCAGCCTATGTCTTTGGTGTTTAGCTCTTCTCTGAAATGGGTATTCTAAGCTGTTTGCTGAAAAACCCCTATCCTGGGGTTTTGATCCCAGGTACCTATGATGGGAATAAGACAAAGTGCCCTATGATACTCTTCAGAGTGATGGGCTGCTTGCTAAGGGGCAGAAACTTTTTGGAGGAGTTTCCGTATACCTGCAAAGCTGCATCTTGTTCTTTTCCTTCAGATCTCTTTGCTATGAGCCTTGCAAGAAAACTTGGCAATGCCTAGACCCCTGAGTAGCAGAGTAATGTAAACAATAATAAAAATAATGATTGTTTTAAGATGCTGATGAAGCACCTGATTATGACGCAGCATCAAAAGATCTGCTGACAGTCATTAAAATCACTGTGTTCCCCTTCCACTTGAGTCGCTGGTTATGCCACACCAATATAAAATGCATTTGCCTATTCAGTGAAAGTATGTAGATTACATTGTGCATGTACCTCAGAAGCAACCTTCAATTAGCAGCCTTGTTTCTACAGTTGGGACTCGAAGCGGGGAAATAGTTGAGGCAAGGACAGCTTATATTTTATTATTTTCCCCTGAGGCTTAGGTCATAAAGGCTCAACTACTAATTGTGAAGGTGGCTTTTTAAAGCTGATGGAGATTGTAATTAAACTGAACAGAAGATGTGGTTTCAAAACGAGCATGTAATGCGTATATGCACATATCTACAAAGCACCTTTCTTGAAGTGGTTATAAATAGCTTGGATAAAATCTGTTTGTTCACAGCCATACCCTACCAGGTCTCGCTGCTTCTGCCGCATGATGGCAATAAAGGCACAGGAACAGTGGTGAAAAGCAGACAAGCCAAATCTATTCATAATCGGTGCATCTGGTATATGGTTGCACAGCCTAAGATGCCAGCCCTCTTACGGTTTTACAGCATTCAGAATGTCTGGTATAAAGAGGTGCATGGTTAAGTCATGGCTCTTCTAAATTCAGTTTCTTTGTCTAAATACTATGCAGCAATAAGGAAAGGAGGAGACTGCCAAAGTCTAGAAGCCAGAAGATCGTCTGTGTGCATAGATGGGTTAAAACTCAGCCAGTTTTCAAGTCTGCAACATGCCCTTGAGTCTGCCCTTGCAGCTGTAGCGGTGGCAATTGGCTCCACTTGAGGTTCAGCATGATGCTATTCCTTGAGGCAGGAACTTGCAGTTATTTCCCAGGATTAGTCTATGGCAGAGCCCATGAAGTCATTGCAGTTGAGCCTGGGATGGGGCTGGACTGGTCTGTATATTCCCTTGCCCTGGAAGAAGAGCTACGTGAAGAACAAATACACTTGAGGAGAAACACAAAACTCTGAAAGGGAGGGTTTAGGATCATAGCTATCTTGAAATTAAAATGCTTTGGGGAGCAAGCAAAATAGAGTTAGGAGGAGTGGTTTTTTTCAGATGTCTTTTTTATTAGCTGTTTAGAAGAAATATAATAAAATTGAACATCTTTAAGATGTATTATGCTTTCTTACTCCTGAATTGTTGGCATCTTTTTGTTTGTTTTTAAATTTAAGTAGGAAATGAGGCATTCAAAATGATAGTGTGTTAGGTAGTAATGCATATCTTATGCAAAGATTTAAACATATTTTTTTTAATTCTGCTTCAGTAACTATGTGTAGATTTTGTGCAGTTCATAGCACATTTTACTTTTAAGCCTTAGAATATGAGCAACACCAGAAATTGAAAGGAATTCTTTTGATTTAAAAAAAAATGCAACTCTGCTAAGGCCAGAGAGTCAGGTGTTCAGTTCTGCAGAGTGTTACTTCTTTCTATAATTGCAATCAGTGAAGCAGTTCATAAAGTAGGGTATTATTTGATATGTAAAAGTAAGAAACTCTGGTCCCTAGCTCATTATTCTCAAATGTGTGTGTATTCTGGGGGTAAGTGGAAGTTACAGTTTTCAGAAGGCTAATTGCAGCATGAAGTGTGGTACCTAGGTTGCCTTATGAGTCTGCAGGGCAAGATTTTTTTTTTTTTGCCATATTCAAAGGTGCGCCCCGAGATTTAGGGGAGACATGAAAATCACTGTGCTGGTGTCCTCTGTCACAGATTCAGCTAGTTATAGAAGTTGTGATTTTTGTAGAAATCAAGTGACTTGAGGCATTGTGAGTCTGCACCCTTTTCATCATGGCTGGTGGAAAGTGAGGAGCCCTTGATTCAATTAGATTTTACTGAAAATTGTACTTTAAGCTTTTCTGAATCATAGTGACCTGCCATTCTTCCTTTAGAGGAGACGTTTACAAAACTTAGCTGACAGAGATGATAGTAGGAGAGAAAAATTCAAAGGGTAGAAAGAAAGGTGCTGTCAGGAGACTATTACTTGTTCTTGTCCTCCAGCTGTTGCTGCTGAAAATCAAGGTCCTATGTCTAAACTTCAGGACATGAAATGGGCAGAACCCTGACAACTGTCTTGATGTGTGGTTGTTTGCTGTTTCATCGTTAGCACTAATACAGTTAGGTATTCATGACAGTGGAAGTTATCCAGGATGAACTTGAAATGGGACGTCTAGTTGGAGAAGCGTCTTCTAAAAGCTTTTTATTTTGAAAGATGTCTTGCTCTTCCTGCCCCTAAATCATGTCAGGAAAAGCAGATAAATTTCACTGTGTGTATTTCTCACTAAGAATTTGCAGATACACAAAGGTTACCTGAGATAGCAAATCTGAGATAGAAAATGGCAAGTTGAGGATAAGGAATGCAGGATGAGAATAAGGATAGCAGAAACAGTTGTGACAACAACAGTTGTTTCTGCCACTGTGGAAAGAAATTGCCTGAGGTCAATCACTGAAAGAATTCATTCTGGTTGTGTTTAACAGCTGTTTTCTGGGATTAATAGCTGTTGAAAAACTCCCTAGATTTGTCCAAAGATGAGTCCAAAAGCAATTTTGAAAAATGTTTTATTTTGAGCTACGAGTGCAATCATTGGCGGTTCTGTTTTTCTGTTTTACAAGGTAAAAGTGGTTTCCAGTAGTTCCTACCAATGTTACAAAGCAGTACTGTGTCATCTGGAAAAACACTAAGCCACACGCTGCTATTTTTTATATATATATATTTGGTGGCTAAAAAACGAGGTCTCGAAAGGCCGGGATTTGGCATCTTAGACGTGGTAGCCTTTGTCCAGCTGCAAAAGCAGCCTCTCCGCAGATGAAAGTTGTAACTGATTACTTTTACCTGATGTGACAATTTCTACACTTTTTTTTTGTGAAAAGAGAGGTATCTCATTTGTCCTGTGTCAGTCTTTGAAATGGAAGAGAACAGGCATGACTGGTCTGTGTCTTGGGGATCTCAAAGGATACTTTTCCTGGGGAAATGGAAAGGGAGACAATGCACATGGGTTGTGCATGAAGAAGCAACTGCACATAGTCTGCACATATTTTAGTGATTACTCATCTGGATTTGCATTTTGCAGCTCAGTAGAGAACGGGAGACCTCCAGACCCTGCTGACTGGGCTGTTATTGATGTTGTGAATTACTTCAGAACAGCAGGATTTGAGGAACAAGCCAATGCTTTTCAAGAACAGGTAAATCTGTTAGGAAACATGCAGTCACCTTTAGCTGTCACCACCTTCTCACTGCACATTTTTGCAGCTGATCTGATTATTCAGTTAGTGAACAGTAAGGTGTTGTGAAGGTTCCTTGAAAATCTCTGTTAGAGGGTGAAAATCCATGGGACTGCTGTGATCTTTTAGTGATGATATTGCTCCACAAGATGTGAATAATGGGATAAAAATGGAGTATGTATTTAAAGCACTCACCTGAAAGGTGAAGAATCTAAACGAACTTTCTGGCTTGGTCCCAGACCATGCAAGTCATTCAGTTCCACTGGTCTATTTTTTTCAAATATAGATGGTAATTCTGTTCTTCCTAAGTGCACTGTGCAAATACACTCATGAGTTTATAAAATGCTGGGATCCTAAGCAGCAATTTGCTTCTGAAGAGTAAGGATGAAAAAGGACTGCTCTGTCCCATTGACTTAACAGTGAAAGCAAACAGGGAAAGGGGAAGTGGATGCGAGAAAAATCGTTCTTGGCACAGGAGCAGAATATTTGCAGGACTCTGAGAAAAAGGTTGGGCCTTCCTTTTAGGGTTTGTGGGAGGGAGGAAAAAGAGAACCAGTTGGTGTCTAAAGCGTGAGTAAGATCTGGAGAGTCTGTTTCCTGCAGTGTATCTATGAGCTGAGAACTCATTGTGAACTGGAGAATGCACCCCTGTCTTCTGTGAAAGATTTCCCCCATCTGCCTTTACATGATAAAATGAAGTTACCAGAGGGAAGTCAGTCAAAGCTACAGACTGCCTTCCACAGAATATTTTGGCCGATATGCAGCCCTTTCCCACATGTTGCTGCTTCAAGTATAACCTTTGTGCTATCCCTTTGTGCAGGGATATGTGCGGTCTATGTCTCAGTGCCGGTCTATGTCTCAGTGTATCAGGAGTGGTCTCCACTACAGCTGGCAGTTTTGGTCAGCAAGGAGCTTAACAATTTTATGGCTCCTTGTGACTGGCCTACCAGCCTGTAGGTAAGGTATGTTAGTGGGGCAGGATGGGGAAGTTTGCTTAATTGGCTTGCAGCGCCTCTCTTCCACAGAGAAGGAGGTTACATCTCCAGATCCTTTACTCTCTTCTCTAAGGCCATAGGTTTTCATGTGGGAACCAAGAAATTAGTTACCAATACATGTATTTTGTTACCATAATAATTGGCCTGCCCTTTCAAGGTGCTGAGTCAGTGCAAATTATTGACAGCTCTGCACCAAAGCAGTACTACATCTGAAGTGAAATAAAGTTAGCTCTTTGGTCAGGTTAATCTTGCTGACCTTCAGCACCTGGATGATGAAACTAGACCTGATTGTATCTGATGAATGTAACACAGTATCTAAATTGAGCCCTTTGTCCTCAGAGAGGTGAAAAGCCTGTTGTTGGGTAATTCTGGAAGGCAGAGATGGGTAAACAAACAAAAAATAATTTAAGTGAATACAGTCTTTAATACTAGCATTCATGTTTCTTTAACAGCACCAGAAGAGTACCTTAAGACTTTAAGAAAAAGAGACACCAAAAAAAGCAATACTTAGTTTTGGGTTTTTTTTTTTTTTTTTCCTCCCTTACCCTGACAGCAGAAAGGTGAAGCTAGCTATATGAGTGTTGCAGAGCAATTTGCAACTGCTGGATGGAAGGCAGCAGAGATGTGGAACATACACATTGTTAGTATTCTGCAGTGAGAGCTACTGGCTTTAGGATGGAAGCTGAAGTAAGGTTCTTTTTAGCAATGTGTTGCTGGGGCTCTGCTAAGAAAGGTAGGCAGTAAACTGCCATGGGCAGGAAAGTGGCTGAACTTTCACTGCTAGTGTCCCTTGATACAAGAGCTTTGGAGATAAAGGTTGACATTTGCCATCAAGATGTGGCCAGGAGATCTGGGCCAGATGCTCCTCACAGCAGAAGTTGCTGCCACTTCTTTCCCCCTAGATTCCCTCAGCACCTTAGGGAGCAGTTGGTGCCTGGTTCTTCATCCCAGCACTGCCCAGTCTGCATGAAGAACAGCCCAAACTGAAACCCTGTTTACCAGTCATCTCTATTTCATTTACACTGCTTAGAGTCCACTAACCTTAACTCTGTACTTCTGATAAATGTTACTGGGATCTCACAAAGCCCACAGACATGGCAATGCTGCCTAGTTTACTTTGAGCCTCTAGTCCCGCTCTGTGTATGGACTCACAGTGTACACAGATGAAGCTGTGGCCATCTCTGAATTTCCCAACCCTTTCTTCAGCAGATTGCTTGGGCTTCAGGAAATTAAATTCATTTGATCTGCTACTCCAGCAATGCACACTGGAATGTGAATGAAATTGTAAATAGCAAGAAGAAGTATCCTATTGCCTCTACAACGTGGTAGAAATTGTTTTCAACTGAACTGAAGCACAGGAAGTTTCGCCTGAATTTGAGGAAAACTTTGTGACTGTGAGGGTTACAGCGCTCTGGAACAGGTTGCCCAGAGAGGCTGTGGATCATCTTGTCTGGTGATATTCAAAATCAACCTGAACGTCATCCTGTGCAACAGGCAGGTAGCCCAGCCTGTGCAGAGAGGTTGAACTATACCATCTCCAGAGGACACTTCCGAGCTTAATCATCCTGTGATTTTGTGAACTGCTTCAGCAAGGGTAGCAGAATGGTTTCCTTGCTGTCCAGAATGTGTCATGAGAGTTCTTGTTACATTTAGCATTTACATAACAGTAACTACATCCATACTTTCTTTTAATAAATTCTGGATAAATATGTCTTCTTCCCTCCAGAAAAATAGTTCAATGATCTTGTAACACCTGAATATCCCTTAGAGGAAACATTTTAAGGACAATTGAATGTTTTTCAAACTGTATTTTAGTCACTGGTAGGTGATAATGATGATTATATTTCCTTCTTGGAGTTCCACTGCAAGAGCAAAGATCTCTCTGAAGAAAACATTAAACAAAAAGAGGATAGCGCCCAGTTATGAAAACAAAAACATCAGCAAGCGACTCCTTCCAGCTGAGCCAAGGAGTTGAGGATGCAGGACAGCCAAAGAGCGAGGCAGAACTGAGTGTGTGAGCACCTCCAGACTGCTGTTGGCCACATACGTTGCCGCGGGTGCTGTAGCAGCCCTGGGAGCCCTCAGTATAAGGCTCTAGCAGTGCCTTTGCCTATGGTATTGATAAGGCATACTCAAAGTTGCATCCTCATTAATATCCAGAAAACAGAGACACGGCAGGGAAGAAAGTCACAGAAGTCACCAAGTCACCACTATAGTGAGTGAAGCAAAAAAAAAAAAAAAAAAAAAAAAAAAAGGTAGAACTTATGCTAAACAGAGGTATGCAAGTCACCTGAATTTTGAATCCATATTCAGTCATCTCCACCAGGACATGTACAGAGAATCACTCTTCAGTGAAAGCCTTTCACTCAGTGAAAGCCTTAAATGATCTTGTGCCTAGTGCTTCTAGAATGCATGGGGAACTGTGAAGGAAGAAAAAAGGAAAATAATAGATGTTCTTTTCCTGTTTTTGGTGTTCCTTCCACTCCAGGCCCTGGGTTTACTTTGGTTCCCACCAACCTGGAGGCTGTTCTTCATCTTTCATACCATCGCTGAGCAGCAGCGAAGGCAACTTTAGATCAGGCTTAAGCAAGAACAAAATAGCCGATGGTGTGAGAATTCCCACAAAAAGATTGTGACAAATGGAAGAGTGAGAATAGAAACTGTTTCTAACTATTAACATCCTCAACAGTAATTGGAAGGAAGCATCTGTTATAATTGAGTAAAATATTATTATTATTATTATTATTTTTAGAAATGCTAAGTTATGTTCTGTTCCACTTGAGGGCTTAACAGTCATATCTGATAAGATTTTAAAGAAATTCCACTTTCACTTGATCTTTGAGTAGATCATTTTTTATGCACTTTGTATTTATACATTTTTTCAAATGATAGAGATCAGTTGGGGCAAATTAATGCTAAACTGTAATAAGACTTAGGGTTATCTGTGAGGTTTGCGAGAGAGCATTTAATGTTTGTAAAGAAGATGCTGCAGTGGGATAAGCTGATGTGGGATGGTTTTATGTATTGTTTATAAAAATGACATTATATAATTTTTATCTGGCCAGTATAGTTTGATAGATGACTATGTTGTAATGGACAACAACCATATATGTAGGCAGTTGAACTGGCTGTTTCCTATTGCTATCAAATTCAAAATCGTGTTTGTATGTTTTATTATTTGTTTTATTTTTATTTTAAGTACCAAGATAAAGTCCAGTGCAGGAGAATGCTATAAGGCTGTGTGCTTTTTTGAGCTCTGGTGACCTTGGCAGGAGTGTTGTGCAGCAATGCACCAGCTGTGCACTGTTCTGTAGGTGTAGCTCATGCTTTCTGGGTAGTGTAGTGTGACTGAACTGTAAAACCGTGAAAAGACAATGACAGTCCCATATCTTAAAATAAAGGTGGCAGCTGAGATGTGTATTTTTTCTCTTGCTTTTTGATTTTGGAAAACTCACAGTTAATTTGTGGCAGTATGACAAGGTTTTGAGGTGGAACCTACCTCTCTCCTGAAGCCAGCAATTTCTAGCCTAACTAGGTCAGAAGGTCAGGATCTGACAGAACAAGTGCATTATCTGTGATTTAAAGGTGGGAACATAAAAGTGCAAACAGCTAGGGAATGTTGGGACCCACGACCAAAATCTGCTCCTCTTTGCCTCTGTCATTGTTAGTGGAGGAAGAGAAGTCCCTCCAGAGGGTAAAGTTCCATAGTGGGGCTCTCTCAAGATTTCTAATTGCAGGAATCTCTTCTTTTCCCCAAGGAGGCCTGTGAAGGGTAGCTTGTTACAGTAGGCACCTAGAGATGTTAGCAGGTAATGACAAGACTAGTCTAAACTTGTATGTTGTTGTCAATGGTAATTTTTCTGATACACAATTCACTGCCTTCTCCCTAAGAACATCTTTCCCTTTATGATGGATAATTAGGCAATCTGTACCTATTAATTTGAAACAGATTTAAAAGGAGAGAGTTTTCAAGTGAGGCAGCTTCAGGTTTTGTGCTTGTCTAACTAGCATTTGTGCCTTAGCGCAGATGAGCACTTGAAAACCAGCCTATGAGCAGAATATAACTACTAAAACATTAAGTTTTAGAAAAACAAATGGTATTATTATTTTTTTCATTGATCCTCTGTAGTAATCTTCCATTTGTTGCATTACTGTTCTAGCTTGTTAATTTCTCTGTTGTCTTCATCAACTCTTTAATTCTTCTTATAGGAAATTGATGGCAAATCATTACTGTTGATGACAAGGAATGATGTACTGACTGGACTTTCATTAAAACTGGGCCCTGCGCTGAAAATCTATGAATATCACGTAAAGCCTCTACAGACACAACATCTAAAGAACAACTCTTTATAGCAAATTGTCTAATTGGGGTCATGCTGTGCCTCAAACAATAAATAAGCAATTTGGTTTCACGTGATGGAACTTTGTAAAGAGAGAATATATGTATTAAGAATTTAAACCAAATTAAGATGATATATATCCTATTGGATAGAGTTGGCAATATACTGTATACTAAGTCTGATCTGAGAGAGGTGGTGTGTATTTTTTACATGGTGCATAACAATTTTCTCTTTTAGGATTTCTCAGAGTGCATGTTGAGATAGCTACAGCACTGTATCCAGAACAAGAGGAAAGTGTGGTCATTCTCATTTTAGAGCCAGGCATGTTCTTGTTTTCATGAATTAGAATACCAAAAAGAACAAAAATAGAGTTTACATGCATCTTTGGGAGAGACAAATGAATAAAAGTATGTTCTGGTGTACATTAAAGACCTACTGAAATTATTACTACTTATAATTTTGGGATGGAACTGAGACTTGCCAACTCACCCTTTTTTGCAGAGGGTCCTATTTTTGACCTTATTAAGGTTTACTTGTGGTATGCTGCAATGTTTAAAGCTGTATATACAACTAACATAGCCCCTTCGATAGCAGAAGGCGTTGCTAACAGGTGAAACTGGCTTGTGTATTTTTTGCTGTCCTTTAAATTTTCAGCTTGTTTTCACCTGTTTTTAATAGTAGTTCTATGTAAAGTAGAGTTGGTTTTTAAAAGTTTGTGTTGCTTTGCAAAACAAAGAACTTCATTTTCTTTTTATTTTTTATTTATAATAACTGTTTTCTAACATTATGCAGAAATTTGTTAAAAAGTAAAATTCTGCACATTTTTAATATTATTGTCTGTCATGGTGTTGTAACAGTTGATTTTTTGATGCTTTATTTACAGTTTGAATACTTGTTTTAAAAAAATGAAAGAAGCTGTCTTGTCACCATACATCTCTGTTAAAAGAGAGTCTTGTTCAGTCTTGTTTGTACCAGTTCCCTATTTGATAGGTTGCTTGCTATATCCCAATAAAACATTGCTTATGTTTGGATTCAGTTTACAGCTTTTTTTTACTTTCTCTGTTTCTTTGTTTCTGAGTATCAGGGATTCTTTTTTTTTTTTCTTTTTCTTTCCTTCATTTTCTTATTAAAAAGGTACCAAAATTTACTTAATATCCTCTGTTGTTGTGGTTACTTCTAACTGCCTCTGCCACGAACTTAAAGATTTTGTGGATTTGCTTTTGCGTAGGCAGTGCCGAGGGTGAGTGCGGAGCCCTGGCCGCAGCTGCTGGTGCCTCCTGTGCTTCCCTTGCCCGGCGCTGGAGCTGCCGCAGCGTGAGGCCGCCCGGGAGGGACCCGCAGCGAGCGCCTGGCCTGCCCGGGCTCGGCATCACCTCTGCACTTGCATCAGTGCAGCTGAGCTGAGGAGCTGGGAAGCAGCAAACAAGGAGAAGAGGGTGGTAAATGTGGAAAGGGGGTGGCAGGAGATGTGAGGGGATGTCGCCAAGAAGGGAGAAGAGAAGCAAGTGCAGCAGTGACTGCCGTGTGGCATGGAGGGGACATTCAGTGTGACGAAGCAGAAGCTCCTGTGATCCTGCCCGGTGGTGCCTTCAGCACAAGTGCAAGGAGGCTGTGGATGCAGCAGTGCTAGGGAAATTGCTTAGGATTTCTTGTGTTGAGATTTGAGAGGGGATAAAACCACATTAACAGCTGAGTTGCAGGTAAAGCTCACAGTGAGCTACCTAATACATAAGCTCCACATCAGTGTGCTTTCTTGTATAGCTGCTGAACATTACCCTGCTTTGTATGCTCCATTTGGAATTTGAGACACGTGGTAGGAGGCAAGGATGTTTCCGCCGCTCCTCTCTGTCCCTTGTACTCTTAACAATTTCTAGACATCAGTTAGCAGCATGTTTGTATGTTGTAGTCTGTGTTCTGCTTATGACTTTTTATTTACAGTTTGTTTGTGTCCAGGGATGCCTGTTGGGAGCAGGGATCTTCTGGAAGGCTTGGTTCAGACAGAGAGGCTCATCCTTGCCTGGGGAGTTTTCAGGTACAGTCTGTATCTGACTAGTTACAGGGTATAACTGAAAAATTGTGTGTGAACTGCCTAAATGTTTTAATATAGAACTAGATCCTTTTATGGAAAGGGGCAGCTGCCTGCAGCAGTCAGTAGATCCCTACCAGCCCTGTATTCCTGGCATTGTTGGAGTAAATTACCTAGTACCGCATTACTGAAAGATGAATTGAACAGTCTTTTTCTCCATTTGTTTGGGGTGGTAAAGACACCTTTTGTAAATCTGTGAATTATACAGAATTATAAATAAAAATATGTTTGTTCCATCAGGAAGTAAAAACCTTCACTGTATAGGCCCAAGGGCTCATTTGGCAATTACTGAGCACTGCACTTTCTTTTACCATGTTTTAATGAGCAAGAATATTGGATTCAAAAACCTCCAGATTGTATTCCTCTTTTGATCAACACTGCTAACTGGCTCATAGAAGTAGAGGCATAAGAGGCGTAACTGAAAGCTCACAGTAATCCTGAAAGGGAATTTGGAGGATGTTATGCCAACAGAGCCTTTTATTTTTAATCTTTTTTTTTTAATCCTTTCACCCCCCCGCCCCGATCTTCTTTGTGGTTTCCTATTCTTATTTGAGCTTTCTAATTGTGCCGTTCATTTTGTGCAGGTGACCATCCTGGTTTTGTCTGTTACTTTCTCCTTGCTGTTTCTGGGGAAAAAAAAAAAAAAAAGCCTTTTAGAACAGATTGAATGTTTTGAAAGAGGAAGTCAAAGCCAGGTTATTTTTAGCTACCATTCCTCTTGCAGCAAGCACAGCTGCTGCTGAGCGGAGGAAGCGGCTGATGGGCATTGCTGGATGCTTTGTCAGTGCCGCAGAACCGTGCATGGCTCCGAGTTAAAGCGTGCCCGCCGCCCTGCTGCGGGGGACACCTTGTCCTGCAAAGCCATCCTTGCACCCGCCTGGTGGCCGGTTCAGCTGCCCAGCTGATGGTGGGTGTGCGAGTGAGGACGGGGTTGACAGCGCAGCTCTCCCCATTTTCGCGCTGAATGAACACTTTGGAGAGCGGCCTCCCTGCTCCTGGCGCAAGGTCTGGTGGCAGCTTTGGGAAGCAGAGCAGCTCTCAGCCTCCCTCACCTGCTGCACGTCAGCACAAGAGCAGAGACGTGTGCTGCAGCCAAGGACCTCCTATTCCCCTTCCCCTCTCTTGTGCTCCTCTCAATGCCGCTATCTGCATCTGTATAACATTTTCCAAAATCATTGAAAAGCACTATGGGTTTGTTTGTTTTGTGCAATAGGTGTGGAAGATGCCCTGGTCATCTGCTCATCTGGAAATCAGCTGAGGACAGCTGATGTCCTCAGCTCTGATGGAAGTGGCCCATAGTCCTCTTCAATTCTGGATGCCCAGTGCAGAGTATATTCTTTGTGTCCAAAGTACCACAAACCAAGTGTGTACAAGGCAACTGGCAGCAAGGCATGGAGGCTGGGTTCTGCCCGTCCAGCTCTCTACCCAGGGAAAACTTGAGGATCTTTCTCATGCCTGTATTCACAGTAATTCTCTTCCGAACAGTTTGCCTTAACATGCCGCACGTTGTTTTATCACTTTGTAGAAACTTCTCTGTTCTTTTAATTACAGGACAAGACTTGGCAGCTGTAATGAAGGGCGTTATCATCCCTGCATCACTCCTGGTAGGAAGAGCCCGGGAGAGTGTCGCATTAGGCCTGCACTGTCAGCAATTACTTTCTAAATTAACTCAACCCTCTTTTACTGTATTTTCTTTGTTCCTTTAGTATGTTCAGATTCTGCTAGGTCATTCACCTCTTCTTCTATTTAACAGGGTCTTCAACACTGTTTTCCCTGGAACGTTCAAGTTACAATTGTAATTTTTTGAAAAGGAGAGGGCTCTTTTACATGAATATGGTAGAAGCTGATTAATGTTTCCCATTTTTATGGCAATATTGTCTTACACATCCCTAAATGATTGAAAATGTGAAGGCTGCATTTGAGCAGGAAAGGGAAAAAAAATGTCAGTTTGTATCCAGTCTGGTTCTTGACTTCAAAATAGCAGTTCCTTTATTTCCAGTAGAGAGTTTTGGCCCAAAAGACGTGTGGAAACTACAGTGGTTCTCACCGTGTGAGTGCAGGTTGTAGCCATCACTGGCTCGGTAGAAAACAGGATGTCAGGTGTAGTCTGCCCTGCCCTGCTCGGGGCAGTTATGTGGGCAATGGCTTGGCCTTGCTGCATCCAGCAGAGAGCTAGAGCACTCGGTGCTTGGAGCTGCGAGCCGGGAGAGCCTATCCATTCGTTGTGCCGAAGGCCTCCATGCGCTTCCTGCTCTGCATCCAGCCTGCAGCTGTTCAGCTGCAAGAGCAGCTTCCCCCAGGGTTTCAGGGAGCAGCACTGAGTAACCCACTGGCAGCCTGCAAGGGCAGACTGCTTTAGTAAGTAGTTCTCATTTCTGTTGGGAAAAGCTGCATTTTGCTTAATATGGAAAGATTTAAATTATTTTTTAGCTTAACCCCTGTAATTAGGGAAGTGTTGGACCTAGTGATGTTCCTTTGGATCACAGCTCTGCATTCAGTTTAGTCCCAGAATAACATTAACTGGTAGATGCTGTTAACTTGGGGGACACGACCACAACATCAAATACCTGGAGACCCCAGTGGGGGCACCATGAAGACTCTGAGTGGCCTCTGATCTCCATGTGAGAGTTTTGTCATTTGTGAAGGCTGCTGGTGAGCGCTGGAGACTGTTGTTGTGTTTATGTGCTACATTCATGAGAGCGTCTGCTAAAGGAACAGTCAGCAGCTATAACTGCCTTGTCAGCAGTTCAACTGATTTCTTGGTCTTGGGGGTCTCGTGCTGATCTCTAGACGTTTTCTTCCCCTTTGCAGATGATTGCTATAAACCAGCTTCCTCGCCCTAAGCCCTGCACAATATTTGGTATGTTGACAGCACCCCTGACTTTGCAATGGGTGAAGCACAAAGAGGCAGGAAAGGCTCACCAGTCAAATACGCTGTATCATGTTCTGCTAGTGGATTGCAGCAGGAGGAAGGGAGTAAAGATGAGGGAATGTGTAGCTGAATTTGAAGCCCAACTGGTGGCCAAACCACAGGAGAAACGTGGAAGTGGGTGTTTGCCTAGATGTAGCAACACTGTTTTTGTAAGAACACATCTCTTCAGCTCCCTCCTCCTTTGTGCATAAACGCTATGTGTCAGCTTGTCTCAGCTTCCCTGGCCTGGAAATATCTGTAGCCTAGAAGATTTTGAAACGTTGCAGGAACCCAAGGTCATTAAACCTTGAGCTCTTGTCTTTTTCCCATTGGGTACGGGTGGGAATTCATGCCTAATGTCACTCTGTAAGGTGGCAGAAGCCCTCGGGACTCTGGCATCTTGGGCTCTGCTGTTCAGTTTCCCTCTGCCGCAGAAGTTTGTGTACCCCCTTCTTCTAGTTTTGAGTCCCTTGAATATTGTTTTTAGTTTATGTTTTCAGTTCTGAAGAGCCCAAATACCAGACAGATTTGTTCTCATGGGTTATTCTAGTTTTCTGTTCTCTTCCCTGTCGCTGTGTTTCTCCCCCTCCCTGCTAGTCAGCTAGTTTCCTCCTTATCTTCTCGTATCTATTGCCTTAGGTTCCCGTTCTAGGCTGGCACTGTGTGTGCCTCCCTCCAGGGCCTGGGCTGTGAACGCCTGCAGCACAGGCAGGAAACCTCTGTGTAGCAGGGTGGCTACAGGGCTGGGCAAAGCCACAAAGTTGTTATCGGGGCTTGCCGAGATACATGTCAATTTTCATTTCTTTTCTTTCCCCTGCCACCCCAAGCATGGATAGTGCTCTCGGGGGTTATATGGTGAATTCCCTACAAAAGTGGGTTGCTTCCCTGCTCGTGTCTCTGTGAGATTACCCCCAGTCCTGCTGCAGCGTGTGCCTTCGAGGTGTGCCAGAGGAAGCATCGTGGTGCCCCAGCTGCAGCGAGAGGCCCTCAGGCTGGGCTTCACTGTGATCCCATGGCCGGTGGGCACCCAGCGGGGAGGGAAGGACACCCGCCCTTTGGCTGCAGGGATGTGTGAAGCAAACCGCAGTCTTGTCACATTCACGTTCAGCCTGTCTTCACAACGTAGCTGCACAGGCTTAGCCTTTTGCTGTGAAGATTTCTATTAAAGAAGAACAATAGAGTCCCAGCTTGCTGGGCAAAGAAGGGTAAATAAAATGTGGATAAGTGGAAAGAAAATTTTTCAAGTCTGCAGTAAATCCATATCACAACTAACTCCTTTCTGTTTCTTATCTGTCACAGTTCATAGGCCAGCTGATTCAGTGAGTGCTATGCATATATGTGTGTGCGTGTATACATAGCAGGTGTATATGCACACTCATGAACATGCGTGTGTCCTTTCTAGGCCATCTTTGACTGCTTAGGTTCAGCGTTGCACTTTCAGAACAGTTTATATTCTGAGCACAGCTGAGACATGAGTGACGTTTTTGAGCTAGAAACAGTTAATACGTTTCCTTTCTAGATACTGCTGTGCACTTTCCAGGAAGAAGATGGTCAGCTGTTACATGTGCTAAAATAGCAGGATTCTAACTGCAGAACATCTATGTTGAGATATCCAGCCACTATTTTTTTTTTCTCACCTTAGGTCAGGTCAGTTAAGCTTAGGATGATCTGCACGAATGATAAATGCAGGACTTATAAAAGCCTTTAAATAAGAAGAAAATGAAGTAGCTGAAAGAGATATAAGAACTGACAGCTGTAAATGTGCTTTAGGAAATAGGTAGACTGACAATATATAGAATAATGTGACTGGTGAAGACAGATCACTGTCACTGTGACAGTGACATTTGGTTTCTGTGTTAGACATCGGTTGATGAATTTGGCTAGCAGATTTTGCCTTTCTGGGATGTTGGTTGTGCGTGGAACATAATCAGCAGCACAGGAGGATTGTGCCTGGACTGTCCTGGGTAGCCAATAGCGGAAACAGGATGTGAAAGAATCGAACAGTGAAACGGCAGTGCGATGTTTATGCACATGAAATACCATCCCTTTTTCTCTGCAGGAGACTGCAGGCATCATAGAAAAAACTACTGGGATATAGGCCAAGATTAGCAAGGTTATCCGTGTTATCAGCAAGAGAATGTATTTTGAATGGCAGTTTTACAAGGAATCTAGTAGCTGCTGTTCGTTTCCCTTACATGTGACTTCATCAGCAAAACATTGCAGCTACTTCTGAGTTAGGCAGAGTAAGCAACTTCCATAGCACCTTAGGGCAAGAATCAAAAAAAAAATCTTCTTCCAATGAAAACAATGTAAAGTCTGTTGTGAAGGCCTAATTTAATGAAGCCAGTGTGAATTCTGCCAGAGCTGAGGCCCAAGTAAATTATGTGGTTGAGCCCCATTTTCAAGAATGATTTATGCCATCATTATCTGAATCTAGTTGCCTTTTGAGAGATGTGGGATTATTCCAAGTGCCCTACTCCTCTTTTATTTTGGAGGGAATCTGGTCATGTAAGTAGTGACTCAGTCCTTGCCGTGCTGGCAGAGCTGTGCTCAGATGTCTTTAAAGAGCTGCCAAATGGCCGCATGGCCGGGGAGGTCTAGAGAAACCACACGGCATGAGTGTACACGTGGGTCTGTAGCCACAGGAGAGCCTAAACAAACAGCTGGTTACTTCTTTGTGTCCTCATTCTGCCATGAATGTTAATGCATTACTATTCTCAAGCCCACAAATTATAAGAAACCTTCCATTCATGTCAGTACATTTTTCATAAGGCAGGAAGTGGGCAGTGAAGAGGAGAACAAAAGATCTACTTTGTTTAGAAAGAGGTAAATATTGAAATGTTTTAATAATACTTTTTTTTTAATAACTGGTAGCAATCCATCTTTTGAAACGAGATTGGATACTTTTTTAGATAAAATTGTCTGAACTAAAAATTATTTCTATTAATTGCAATGTTTGTATTCATATATAGAAAAAAAAAAGTTTCATTTCTTATTTGGTAAATAGTCATATACTGGTCATTTTGTTTTTTTGATATTGCTCTTTATTTGCCCTTAAAAGATACATTAATAAATTACAAGCCTCTAGAAATAGCAGAAACAGTAAGACATAAACCCACAAATACAAT